CTTGATCCGAAGAAAAAGAGAAGAGCCCAGAAGAGACTGGTTGCCACTCAACAGGTGGCTCTTGTTATGCATGGCATGTTGTTCGTTTGAATATAGGGTGTATAGCGATGGTCAAAGGTATATTTTAGAATTTAACATAAGACAGACCAGCCGTCGTCAGCTGGCTAATTAAATAATTAAACCAAGCAATGAGGATGTTGCTTCTACGTTTTTTGAAGAATTAAACAATAATGAAATTCCTGTTTCGTCATTTTATTGAAACAAGTATGTTTATATTGTTCTAATCCTAGAAGCATTTCAAACCATAAAACGCTTCAAAACGAAAAAGTTTCATTTACCTTCGAATTCCTAATAAAAATATAGAAATAATGCTTGATTCATTAAGATTAGGTATACATATATATAAGAATGAAGTCCACAAACGCCTATCCACTGTTACCCCTAGTATCTTTTTCTTTCAAGCAAAACCAGCAGATTAACGAGGCTCAAAAAATAGTAAATAACAGAAACATTCCAGGTTTGATGCGAAAATCCTTAGGCCACAGAAAGTTTGGGAGAGTGGTTGGAGCTTGCAATCTAGGAGAAACTAACGTGAGAGGAGATCGTCTTCTAAAATTTTGTCAAGAGAAGAAATTGATAGTAAGCAACACATTTTTTAAATCGTTACCAATACGTATTTTAAATTGTAGAAGAGAAGGCTTTATACATTGAAATTCTCCTCAGATAAACTTTACAAGTTCGTAAGAAAATCAAGCTGTTTTCGCCCCCGTTAATGAAAGATGCATAAATACCAATTAATCAGTAAAAATCTATCCTGTTGCCAACGCTTTTTCAGGCCACAATCTACTAGCTGCCTCTATAAAGCTCAAATTAAAAGCTCTTAAAAATAGAAAAATATACCACAGATTAGCACAACAAAACTATAAGAGTCAAGCATTAGAAAAATTGAAGATTTGGAAAGAAAATAAAATATGTCCAATCATATACAAGAATGTGGAAGAGCTTGCAGGTACACAGAAGAGAAATCAAAGCAGTATATTCCAGTGCACAAAGAGTGTCAGATCCTAATGAACACAGTAGGTAAGTTAAAAAGAAGGAAAGAGTACATGTAAGAGTTATTTATATATAATTGAGTATAGCCAGAAGGAATGAATACGTCCGGAATCACTAAAGAAGAAGATAACGCAGTATAGGCAGAAGAAGAATCTTATGGTTATGACTGATTCGAGTTCGAGTAGCCGCGTATAACGTATAACGATAACGATTGCTAACCTTTAGCTTGGAAATGGAAACGAAGAAGAATTTCAAGTTACTTTAGATTGTAATAATAATTTCTAATCGAAGGGGCAAATACATCAAGCTCATGTAAGCTATGTCTTTTATTTTTGTTTAATTTAAAGTAAACGTGCATGGTAGGAAATTGACAGGGTTACTGGTTGTATGGAATGATACCAATAGTACCATCGTCAGGCCGAAAAAAACATGCTTTACCGTGTTACGTTGTACGCCTAGCGCCTACCAAGTCCGACTGAAACTATCACGTTCAAAGTCAAAAGTACTTATATTTCGCTAGACATTACACTTATAAGTTTGTAAAAACTGCCGCTAGTTTGTTAGTAATAGTAATGGACACTTTATAACCCGAACCTATTTCAAAAATCCCTGAATTCCTTTCAAATATCAATCAACCGTTTATTAGGTAGGACTGGACTGCGGAGCATAACGATAACATTAGGAGAAGGCTGCTTTAAAGTTTAGGTTGGATAAGTTGTACGTTAAATTGAGGAAAACGCTAAAAGACTTTAACTTTCATTGCACTGAATTCAACTCAAACTTATGTAAATGATCTGCAATCTGCACCCATGTTTTTTGAGTATAGTGTTCTGGTGGAGCGCCCTGTCCCATTGCGGCATTTATAAATTGGTACCTACTTGTAATACTGTTCGGCAGTATTTTACCTTTTTTTTATGCATATTATTATTAATTCCTAAATATAGTAGTAAGTAAAATTTAACTAATATTTATTTTCAAATATTCCGATTTTTTCCTCTTTCATTTTTGAAGCAAAAGAAATACGTTTTTTAAGCTAAACAAACTAACATTTTGTACCTGTTTTTATGACCATTTGAACCCTCAGCTTTGAATGTGTATGTTTTTAACGGCAAAGATTCTAAGAATTTCACCCCCTTTAGAAATCTTTGTCGCCAAAGGAGAAAGTNTATACTGTATAAGATAAATATTAATTACATTGACTTCATTATTATTTCAATCACAGTAGTATCATCAAAACAATTTTGTATTTTATCTTATATTAATTTTTACAAAAACATAACTATTAAGAATACGAGTTGGAATGTATTTACAAGTAACGACGACAGGGATTGCTACGAACCCTAATTATTTTTAACAAGAAAATTGCACATCCGTTTTTCATTGCCGATAATTTTATTTACTGTGCGAAACTTTAATTCGATTGTTCTTACGTTCAATTAAATAGGAAGCTTTCAACTTGCAGTAGACAAACGTCAACGATGCATTTGTTACGTTCTTAGTGATATTAAAGCGGCATTTAAGTATTCATGCCGACAATCATGCAATCTAAATTTCAAATACATATTCCTATCTGCATGGTGGTCTTGAAAACCGCTTGTCGACTCAGCCGGAAGATATTAGAACCTGACAGAGACATATCCTCTAAGTCAATCTTCTAATTTATAGCATTTTTTCTTAGGATCACGTTCTCAGAATAACTAAGTTACTAGTTAAAAATTAACTCGTACATAATAACTTTCTTATTCGAAGACATAAAGAAGAAAATTTATATTTATAGCTTCATCATGCTGAATGCAGATATATTTTATTTCTTTCATCGTCGAAAGACAAATTAACGACAAACGATAAAAATAGTTAAAAAAAAGTCTTCTTTGTGTTCTCTTCAACAAGGAAGTTGATTTATTAGAAATCGTTTTTATAGCTGAAAAATACTATGTAGTATATCGGTTATAATTTCATACCTTTCAACTGAAATATACCAAGAAATATGTAGAGATTCAAAAGTCATAAATTGAGCATGGTGAATGCACAGTAAACTTAAGATTTAAGATGATTGAGGGCTGGGTTTCCTTTTGCGAAAAACCCGGGAACAATTTACTTATTATTCATTTAGAACTTATCAATTAATTATAATTGCTGAATGGCAAGTGATTAATTTTTTTTAGTAGTTACTTGCTGGCGCAATAAGTGGAGTTACCACAAATTTATCTTTTGTCTAAAAAACTGTCACTGGACGTGGAGCAATGCTTAAAAGCGTAATGGCGCTTTTGTATTACAGTAACAGGAATTGCAATTGACGTCTTTAAATCTTAGGCAGGGTGCCCACAGAAGTGGTAGTGATGCAGTAGTGGCGTGATCAGTGTTGCCAATTCTAGGGATTTATCCCGATTCGAGGGATTTTTGACGTTCTCGAGGGATAAAGGGACTTTTCCTTATTTTTGCGGGATTTTTTGTAATTTGCCATTTTCTGGTTGGTTTTGTTTGATTTTGTTGACCTGATATTATATTATGAAGGCGCTCATTTTTCTAATTGTGAACGTAAAATTTTGTCAGCTATAGTCGTATAATGCTGTACGATGAAACTGTTGATATACGACGGCGACGTGCGTTCAAGCCTACTGGTGCAGCCTGCAGGTACCTGCTCAAGTCCCTACGATAAATTGTCTTGAACTTTTTTGAATTGTATATTGTTTTCGTATCATTGTATGGTCTTCAGCAAACATCTTGAAAGTGACCAGTCAACTAATCAGAAACAGATGTTAAAACTAATAAAAATAAATGTTTGAATTGGTGTATTGTTCCAAAATCCGAACATCTAAACATCTAAACCCCCAAGGCCTGGTTTTGTCTGCATTTTCGAGAAACGAGATAACTACATACAATAAAATTATCGGTATTATACTATCGACACGAAAAGTTGTCCATGTTTACAAAAATATTATATATTTTTTCTTCGAATAAACGATTAAATTAACGAATTAAACAATAATAATAGTAATAAGTTGGAGGGATTTTTAGAGAAAATATGGGACTTTTTGGACCTGCGCGTGGAGGGATTTTTAGAGAAAATATGGGATTTTTTGGACCTGTGCGTGGGATTTTTTCCTGGAGTAGGTTGGCAACAGTGAGTGGCGTGATCGCCTCATGGTGTTTGTCTGAGGTGGCAGAGAAGCAGTATATACGGTGCAACAAGTCAGTACGATGTCACATCATCAGTTGGTGATACCTGACTAGAATCATAGGGAGTTGTAGCTAGCTTCACATTGTCTCATTTGGACCCTATAAAGCTGCCCCATAAGGTGCACAAAGGGTACATAACACATCATTATGAATGCCACATGTAGCCTTCGTGAGAAAAAACGTGTAATCTCTGATTTAAAAAATCGAACACTGATAGGACACATAGTGAGAATGTCTATTGTTTTGTGAGGCTGTGGGTGTTATGTTTGCCTCATCCATATCATAATAATTTTTATTGTTAGGTCCACATGAGGAATCTATAAAGAAATTCCTCTATCGGCATGTTCCTCATTTATAGGTAGTAGGTTTAGCAAGTCGGATAAGGATGTTCTTGCTTTGGTGCATTATATAGTATAATATTCAGAAGAGACGATATTGGGTGCATCTCTTATAGAAAAAGACAAGCAACCAATCTGGTTGCTTCAATGTATTTATAGAACTAAATCAGTATCCAGAGCGGTTTATTTCCATCTAGGTATATCATCTTCATTCTTTTTGTAGGATCAGTACCAATGGTTGTCATCTGTTCAAATTTGCACGGGATCTACTAGTAAAACTATATACTATACAATAACCTTTGATATATCTAACAAACTATGTATATCTGCTGGATAAAATATTATCACTTTCACAATTCTGTAAATACATAAAGATTGATAGTATAAAAACCAAGATGCATCCATTTGTTGCCTATTGCAACCGTTAACTAGTGCATACAATTAAAACACGAGAAATGTGGAAACTGGAAGTTGAAAACGGAATTGAAAGTGTATTCGCAAAGTGGAACTTTCAACCACAACTTTTAATGGGTGCTGGACCATCAAATTGTTCCCCCAGGACAACTAACGCTTTAACAATGGAAATTTTGTCACCTGTGGCACTTGATATGTACAAGGTAATTCTTTAAAAATTTATATATCTATCTATCTTTTTATCTTTCGAAATGCCTTTAATAAATATGCTTTTCCATATTTTTTATTAAATTTTACCTCATCATCATCATAAGGTCATCAGTCCTAAGACTGGTTGGACACGTACCTCCACTCTTTCCTATCCTGAGCTAAACTTCGCATTTCTCTAAAACTAGAACAGCCCACATCCTTAACTATTTGCGAAGAGTAATCTAATCTAGGTCTACCTCTACCCCTCCTAACTCCTGTTTCTGCCTCTAATATGTCTCTTTGGCTAGACCTTCATGCCTGAGAAGGTGTCCTACCAACCTATCTCGCCTATTTTTTATTGGCTTCCATAGAGTCCTCTGTTCTATTCTTTCCAATACCTCTTCATTTCTAACCTTTTCTACCCACGATATCCTCATCATCCGCCTATAACACCACATTTCGAACGCTTCTAACCTTTTCTTTTCCGCCGCTCCCACTGTCCATGTTTCGCACCCGTACAACGCCGTGCTCCAAACATACACCTTTAACAACCTTTTTCGAATTTCTAAATTAACCGTTTGCGAGCATAGAAGTGACTTCTTTTTATTAAAGGCGACACGACCCTGCGCTATCCTCTGCTTTATATCTCCTTCCATCCTCACTTATCTGACTTCCTAGGTATCTAAAATCAGGCACTTCTTCTAATTTTTCCTCTCCCATCTTTATATTCGCTCTTTCCCTACTTTTTCTTCCCTTGCATATCAGTATTTACATATCTACTGATAATTGAAAATAGCAACGTATGGAAGAATTTAAAAAATCTTTTAATAAGAAAAGTTTCTTTTTACTTCGAATGGGTATATAAGTAATTAGTTAATATGATCGAAAAAGGCGCTTGCATCTTCTTTCATTTCAAAAGCAACGCAAAGTACCATCCATTTCAGTTTAGTAATGATGCTCTAAAAAATTGCAGATTATGGACGACATTCAATGCATGTTGAAACATACCTTTCAAACTAAAAATAGACTAACACTTGCTATTCAAAGTTCTGGTCATGGTGCGTTAGAATCTATTTTGACTAATTTAGTAAATCCGGGAGAAAAAATTATTGTAGCTGTTGGCGGTGTTTGGGGCAAAAGAACGGTAGCCATAGCACAGAATTACGGTAAAGAGTTAGATAAAATTACCTTCATTTATCGTTAGTTTACATTTAGTCAGTATACATCTTTCTTCATTTATAAATTACGCAAATTTACAATTCTACGGAATATTTGTCCGTATGAGATAATACAGTTGCTAATTGTAGGCATTGAGGTAATTACATTATCTTGTACCCCTGGAGAGATTTACAATTTTAAAGACTTGGAAAAACAAATTATGAAGCATAAACCGGTATTACTTTTCATAACTCACGGAGAATCGTCTGCAGGAACTTGTCAACCATTGGACGGATTGGGAAAAATATGCCATAAGTATTTATATTTTGTTCCATTTAAATACGTGTTATTTATGCATGATGGATATAACTTTAGCGAATGTTATTGGATATGAAATTAGCAGCTCCTATTGGTTTTTCACGTTAACTAGTTTTTTTATGTTAACATCAAAATTGGCACATAAACCGTAATAGTATCATTTCAGATATAATTGTCTGTTGGCTGTGGACGCCGTGGCGTCATTTGGGGGTGTCCCACTTTTTATCGACAAATGGGAGATAGATGCGGTTGCTGCTGGATCGCAGAAGGCTATCTCTGCGCCGCCAGGAATGGCATTTTTATCTTTTAGCGAACGAGCTGAGTATGGGTTATTCTAAAGCAAAAAATTTAGGTCTAGATCGTGAGCTTCAATTTTTTTTAGACAATTAATGCGAGCAAAAAAGGTCCCTCCGCCGTTTTATTTTGACGTCATCGCTCTCGGCGAAACCTGGAACTGTTTCGGGAATCCGAGAAAGTAAAATACTCCAAATTAATAGAAAAATTACCTTTATAATTTCTTCTTTTTCAAGTCAAATAAACTATTTTTGACTACTGTATAACTATTTATTAGTAAACATTTTTTGTAATTTATGCGAGAAAAAAAAAAGATTACTCTTTGGTAATTTTTAGAAAAAGTTACCATACGTCTGAATTAGTTTATTTGAAAAAGGAATAAATGAAAAGATTTTTCTGTAAGTCACGACAATTTTCTAATCAGTTTATTTTTAAGATATCACTACACTTATGGAAGTCATTTACTTATGTCAGTCAGAGAGGCTTTGATGCAATTAATCGAGGAAGGTGTTTTGGAAACATGGAAGAGGCACGAAGTGTGTGCTAAACGACTTTGGAATGGACTTGAACAAATTGGATTAGAATTGTTTGTTGAAAAGGAGGAAAACAGACTATTCACTGTAGCATCAGTAATTGTTCCCAAAGATGTCAAATGGCCGGTGCTTCTCGATTATATTTCAGGAAAGTACGTAGAAAAATAGAAAAGAATTTTTGAGTTAGAAAAGATTTTGAGTTACAGAAGTTCGAGTTACAGAATTTCTACAGTATTACAAATTCTCAAGAAAACCCTTAAGTCTTATTTTTAATTTGTATTATTATTCTGTAGACACCACATAGATATAAGTTTTGGATTAGGGCCAACTGCTCACACTTGCATTCGAGTGGGTAGCATGGGTTATAACGCTACCTATGAAAAAGTAGACACTGTATTAAAAGCTCTTGAAGATGGTTTAAAATATTGTCGTTCAGAGAATGGTCAAAACGGTCCAAACAGTAGATCCGAAGTTATGGAATAAACATTACCCAATATATTTAAAACAACAAAAAATAAGGTAATTTATTGGAAATAATTGCCTACTCTGTAATTTAAATTAACCCATAAATATTCGCAATTTTTTAAACACTATCAGTTTGAAATAGTAATAATACTTGCCTGGTACCTATACCAAAGACAAGACTGGATTAGTTAAATAATTACCAATAATTGTTTGATTATTTTTAATTTAAGTGGTCAATATGGTTCACTACAAACCGATTGAATGCGATGACTTTGTAATAAAGTTCTTGAACACAGAAAAGATAACAATAAAAAAAGTAGGTACTCCAATTATATAAATGCTGATACAATTCTTTATATTAAAAATAAGACATAATACATAACTCGCGTTAGACGTTCAACACTAAATATGTTATGGTTATAACATAAAATATGTACATTTTTTTAAGTACTGTTTTGTAGAGTGGACAGTGCTCACCCTTGTTCAACCCCGTGTTTGTCAGTATATGTATTCACAACCCTTCAACACTTGATAATCAAATTGAAACGACGAAAACAAAGACAACGTTTAACTTACAACACATTTTTCTTAGTTACTTATTGGACTTATCATACTGAAGAAGCTACTGCGTGGCGAAATAATTACTTCTATTCTAGTAGCTTCTTCCAGTCAATTTTCAAAATTATAAAATGAGCTTATTAAAATCAAAACGACAAACTTACGCTTTTTATATTTGATGGTTTTTACTTTTAACGAGAAAACGACGATGTCAAACAAGATAAAAGTATATAATTTCACAATTTGCAGGGAGCGAATGGATAAGAAAAAAGTAAATCCGCCGTTCTACTTACACGCGAAAAAAGTTGCGAATTGTTGGAGATGTTTGAATGATGGGCCCGCAGGGTAAGATCATCCACTTTCGACACGAAAAACCTTATTCGGCCTAACAAACACTCCAAAAGAAATTATTTTTAGATTCCACTACACATGGAATTCGAACATGCTGTGCGCAATTCGTGAAGCATTTCTTCAGCTACTTGAAAAAGGTCTGGCGAACACGTGGGAAAATCAAATGAAAATGGCAGAACGCCTGTGGATTGGATTAGAAAAGATGGGCTTAAAATTGTGGGTACCGAATAAAGAGAAACGATTGCCAAATGTCACGACGGTNGATCTGAATTTTCATTTTACAAAATATTTATATTCATGCACGCATATGTTGGCAAACACATAATTGTATCATTGAATTAGTTTTTTTAATTAAGCCTACAAAAAAATTAAAATGCCAGACACATAATTGATTGAAATCCCCAATCGCTAATTATTCAATAGCTTCTGACTTTGTTTTTTATGTAATGCGGAAAAACTGATTTCAGCACACACGTACATAAATACTACACATTATTATTGAAATGAAAACGAAAACAACAGTTAAACGAAATTAATCTAAAGTTTTATAACAATTAACTTCTATTGAGCACAAATTACGCATGTATGCGTATGTAAATATAGCGTTTGTTGTTTGAATACGTACTACATTTTTTTAACTCTAAACATGAGATAAGATATTTTATATATCATGGAAGTAAACTCATAGATAACTTGATGAGAATTTATGTCTGTACATGCACATCAGACAATGTTTACAAAACTATTTTACACAAGTAGGTATGTCAGTGGCGCACCACAAAATAGTTCTGGGTGATAAAATTCCTCTACTCAAAGATCTTCGATTGCTTCCAAGTTGTCACCCTTTCTTATTTACCCACCCATGATATTTCACGAGATATTTTTAATGATAACACACATTAACAGACTTGACGGACTTTTTTGTTTTTAACACACTAAATTATGGTTAAAATGTAAATATTGAGTCAGTTAATTAAGTACCTAATTAAAATAACAATCCATTTACCTCATAATAAAATTAAAATGAACAGAAAAAACTTAAATGAATCACAATCCCACGTTAATCTTTGGGAACGCTGACAAGTACATATAAGTATTATAAATCAAACTAACTTCACAAACTCCAAGTCTTCTCCAACTCAAACATATTTGGGGCCGTTCAAGTATTACGTAAGCACTATGGGGGGTGGGGGGGTCTTTGTTTTGCTTATTTTGGATGACATGGGGGGTAGGGGAGTCTAGATGATGATTACGTCATCGGTAGTTATTTACTTTTTACACAAATGGCAACCCTCACATTGTCTATGCTTGAAAACGAAACGCATTTTTAAAAATTCCCGCAAATAATGCATACGTTTAGGCACTCGCTTTAGAACCGATTAGGGGAATTACCGCGCGCTATTCACTTGTCTAAATTTTCTCCGTTAGTGTATTGTTTTGTTTGGATACTATAGCGAGTAGACGTATTGTAAGCATAGCAAAGCAAGTTAACATTTGTGTTACCGTTGATTCCATTAGCCAAAGTTTAACGTTTAAATAAGATGTCGTTTCAAATAGACAAATCCAAGTTATACCAAAAATTGTTTCAAAGTTTTAAAAAATCTCATGCAAGTACGAAAGTACAAAATGTACAAAAGTTAGTTAACGAAGTGTGGCGAAATTATAAATTACAAGCAAAGTCCGACAAGGAACTAGATATTATTGTATCTAAGAGAATTGAAGAAGAATTGCAAGCGGCGACTAAGAATAAATCCAATCTACTACATTTTTTTTCCAAGGTGAGTTACGAAATCATTTTAGGTACCTATAAGTACTAGAAATATTAGAAATCGCCAAATAGTTTCTCTTTACATTGTATAACAATAATTTAGACGTTTTATGATTAGAAAATATTGTGGCCTATCGCAAAGTATAGAGGTAATATTCATTATATAGATTTATTTCTTAAGATTGACTCCGTCAATTGGCCACAAAATACAGTGTGTTAGTTTTCTCTATGTGATGGGTTCGATTCCTGGCTTTAAAGATTATTTACAATACATTTATAATTGAAAAATGTTTACGTAAGCATGGGAGGAGGGGGTAAGAGCTTTGCTTACTTTTGCTGACAAGGGGGATGGGGGGGGTAAATGATTGTAATAAATCTGCTTACGTAATATTTGAACGGCCCCTAATATGTGTAGCATATTATTGGTTTAATAAGGTGATCACATATAATTGGTATATATACGTATGTATTTGTATTGTGCACTGTTCTCGAGAAATATTTATGTGTTAACACGTTTTTGTGGCCATGGTGTTTATTTGGGCTCGTAGTGACTGAGGTCACGTATCAGTTGGGCTCGTAGTGACTGAGGTCACGTATTCTGCTAACCCCAGTATGTCAGGAGAGACGCAGATATCTCCGGTGATGCCTATAGTACGTACTTGCCTTGCTTGGGGTGGGCTCGGTACTATAGCGACACAGGGTTAGGTTCGTCCTACCCTGTTGGTCTCCAGTATGTGCGAATTCCATCTGGAGGCGCGGGAGCGCAAACTCATGATTACAGGTACTATCCACCGACTGATGGATAACCCTACCTGCCGATTGTTAGACTGGCGAGACACTTCGCAAGTGTTCCAGAAGGGCAGGGGTTCCTAGGAACCCCGGTGAGTACATAATTACCTCATGATCTTATCAACAGATCGGTAAGTGTATTTATTTCTTACATGTAATTATGGTTTCCTGTGGTCGAGAATGTA